GTTTAGGGTTTAGGGTTCAGACTGGTGAAGGAGTCCGTCTTCTTTCACAAGGCCCTGAGGAAAGCTGCCACCCAGGTGGAAGACTGAGAAGATGATTATGATATTATGATATAGAATTATTATACCATACTTTTGAATTACTATACTATAATATAGAAGTATCATGCTACAATATAGAAGTCTTATATTAAGATATAGAATTCTTATACTATACTTTCGAACTCTTATACTATGATATAGAAATATTATACTACCATATAGAATTGTTATACTATACTATAGAACTATACTAGAGAACTATTATACTATAATATAGAGTTTTTTTTATCATAATATAGAACTTTTTACTATAATATAGAATTCTTATATTGAAATATAGAATTGTTATACTATACTATAGAACTATTATACGAGAATATAGAATTAGTATACTATAATGTATAATCATTATAGTATGATATAGGATTGTTATACTATACTATCGAACTATTATACTATGATATAGAAGTATTATACTACAATATAGAGTTATTATATCACATTATAGAAGTATTATACTATAACATAGAATTTTTATATTATACTATATTATAGTATACTAATACTATATTATAGCACATTATATGGATCCTTGTCAGATCCCTGGAGGTGAGGGCTTTCGAATCCCAAGACAGTGCCGTGCTTGTCTATGCAAAATTCTTAGGCAGGTCCAAGGCTGGACTCTTGGGAAGTTCATGGTTATGTAATGGGTCATATAGGGGATGTGTTGGGAGAATGGAGAAGAAAATGGAAACTACGATGACGGGTTATATAGGGATTATAGGGTACATTGTTGGGTTCCTTTTGGGATAATGGAAAAGAAAATTGGAAACTACTACAATGGATTACACAGTATAGGGTTTAGGGTTTAGGCTGCAGTGTCTGGGCAGGTTCGCATGATGCGTGAAGCTGGCCACTGGCATTGTGCAGACGCTGAATTCGAAGAAGTTGCTGGGACATGGGACCCTATTTCATCTTTGCACAGCCATATGTGTGCTTGCAGCTCTCTTGCCCTGAGCGGAAGGACATATTCTACCACAACGGCTTTCGCACAACGTATGCGGTGTCCAAGACTGGCGAGGCGTTCAATGCAGCGTTTCTGCCACTTTCAAGTTGGAAATCGAATATTAGATACTATAATGCAGAAGTAAGTTGTTATTATTAGTATATTATAGTAAAATGATATTAGACCCTTACCCCGACAGGTACGGGCAACGCATAGTGACGGAGATGGTGTCGGGTACCTTCAGGATTGCTGAGGGCTTTGCTCGTATTCAAGTGGTAGTTTCTCAAAATTAGGGGGACCCCAATATAGACCTCAAAATACTATAGTCCTTATTATGAGGACCCCACCACTAATTTTGGGAAACCTCTGAGTCATGCTCCATGAGCTAAGCAAGCTTGACCAGGCCCTCGAAGCTGGAAGGTTCAGTATCTTGACAAACAAACAGTTGCAAAAGGGGTTCTATAGGGCTTATATAGGGTTCTATAGAGCTTATGTAGGGCGTATATAGGGTCAAATAGGGGGGTTTATAGAGGGTTCTGTAGAGCCTATGTAGGGCTTACAAAGGGTCATATAGGGTTTATACTATATAGGTTCTAGGGGTCTTTATGATGTAGGATTCTATCTTGCCTTTGGTTAGCTGGGAATGAAGGAATGGAAAAGAACATGGAAACTATTCTACTGGGTTACATAGAGACTACTATAAGGATCCATTCCTTCATTCCTAGCTAATCCAAGGGCAGTTTCTGGGTTCTAAGGAACTTCAATCAAGTTACCATAATGGATATATACATATATATATATATAGTATTTCATATGGCTTCCCCAATACAGTACAAATTACGTTCCTTAGCAGCAATCCAGATGATTTGGGACCCATTGGCTGAGGTCCCCATATCCCAATTAATAACCCCACCAGGAGTCCCCTGTATAATGCCCTATATAACCCCCTTTAAGGAGGTTAGACTCTAGCTCGCATGCACCCACCCTAACCCCTAAACCCTAAACCCTAAACCCCCCATTGGCTGAGGTCACAAGCTTATGGGTATCCACCGCGGAGGAACCTGGGAGCGGTTTCGCCTGGATGGTGCAGCCCTCAGAGTTTGGAGGACATGTGCGTCAGAATCTAAAGTCCTTAAAGGGGGTTTAGGGTTTAGGGTTCAGGGTTTAGGGTTTAGGGTTCAGGGTTTAGGGTTTAGGGTGGTTATATAGGGATTATATAGGGGACCACTAGAGGGGATACACTAAGGGGGATACTAGGAGTTTCGACCCTAAACCCTAGGGTTTATTAAGGGAGATGCTAGGAGTTTAAGGCCCGGGAAGGCTACACCTGGAGCACTGGCAGCAGGCCTGGGGCAAACCAAGCTTCAGTTTACTTACCTTTGGTTAGCTGGGGATGAAGGAATGGAAAAGATCATGGAAACTACTATAGGGTTTAGGGTTTAGGACGTATGGAACAGAATAGAAACTACTATAATGGGTCATAGGAACTACTGTAAGGATCCACTTCTGCATTCCTGGCTAACCAAAATTAAGTTTGATCGGCTCTTGGGATCATGGGAGGAGAGCCTTTTGTCCGTCGCGAAGGGCTACCGTCGTGAGCGACCGCCCATGCCAGGAGCTTTCATTCCATCTCCGAAGCTTTTGGGGGTAATAGGGATATTGGACAAGAACATGGGAACCTTTACATTATTATCGGGGTTATATAGGGATAATGGAAAACAAAATGGAAGCTGCTGTATTATATTGTGACCTTGAGCAGGATGTGGATGCCCTGGACGGATGGCTTGGTGTGCCATCCCCTCAGACAGGGCATCATTGCACCGCATACGCTGCATGCGCTCCTTCCCAGCCTGGAGCCTGGGAGGAGGCATCCTTGTCATGCTCCTCGAGTGCGAGCTGCGGTGTCAAGGTTGAGAAGGCTCAATTTCAAAGTGCTGCGAAACAAATTATGTACTATAGGCTACACTCATTAAAGGGGGTTATAGAAGGGGTTATATAGGGGACTACTATAAGGGGTTATTCAGGGGGATACTAGGAGTTTAGACTATAGCTCTTATGGACTAGGACATTTGGACTCATTTGCAGGTCTCCAGCAGCTTGTCTTCCTCGTCATCTGCAGTCTCTCTGCACCTGAAAGACTTGCTGGTCCGGCCAGGTGCCAAGTGCAGGCGATGTAGAAGCCGTCCTCTGCAGAGAATTTTTAGGCGCTACTTGAGAATGGCAGCCTGGTCCCGGAGCCAGGCGTTTTCCTCAGAGTCACTTGAGAGCATCCTGTAAGCTCTTGTGACATCAGATTCGTACCCGAGGTTGGCGCTTTAGAGGTTCCGATTGGAGTCGGCGGTGGCTTTGGCTCGAAGTTGCAGATGGCTGTGGGTCGGGTTGCCGGTGCCCTGGGTCCAAGTGCTGTGACTGCAAAGGCAGCAATGCCGTGTCCAGTGTGCCTCAGGTGAGGGCAGTCCGTTTCGGCAAGAATGTGGAGGTCGTTGGACACTTGGGCAGATACACGAACAACTCGGAATGCCCTGGCCTTGGAAACAAGCTCACAGGCTGCATACTCTAGAGACGAGCTGCATGATGCTGGTGAGGTTTGACGCTCCTCGGCGAGGCCACCTTGCAGGTGCTAGGATGATAGCAAGTTGCTGACTATCGCTGTGCAGGCACGATTTCGCAGGAGTGGCTGGGCGTGCCTGTTCAAGGCAGCTGCTTGGATGTACGTGTTCATGCAAACTTCATGTATCGTGACACAGGGTAGCAGATGTAGCAATTTTACGAGGCGATGCCTCAGCAAGATCCCCTGGGAGACACGGGAACTGCCAAACAAAGTCAAAGTCGCTTGAGAAGCAGAGACTAGGCAAACTCTGCAGCTCCAATTTAGCAATGCTCAGCAAGTCTCCTTACCAACCCGTGGGGTCTGGCAAAGCGGAAGGGCATCGGAATGGCTTATGCCTGGCTAAGTCCCTGATCCAAGCATCCCACGACTCACAATCCCCGCTGCACTTGACAAGCTACGTGTTCCTCTGACAGTTTGGGCCATGGATTTTTTGTTGGGAAAGCCAGCTTGCTTGTTGGGTGGGCTATAAATTCAAAATGCCATGTAGTTGTCACAATGCCGTCAGCCTTGCCGTATGGTTGTACTTTCCCAGTTGAACTTCGACATCTTCAGCCCCTGGCAGTGGTGTAGGACTTGCCGAGAACACGGGGAACGCGCAGAAGTCGAACAGCTGCGCAACAATCCAGGATGCGCACGCTCACAGCTGGCAACGTCCAGGCAAGAGCAAAAGGATTGCACATCCTTGGATGCGCGGCTTCTAGTTGCAGGCAGCCATTTGGCAGCCTAGCAGATGGGTTCAGCTGTTCTTGGATCACTTTCGGCCTGGCCTTCATTTGATTCCTTTCTAGCATGCACGCACCAGTCCCAGCTCAGGCAAGAAGCGAAGTTCCAGGCTACCGCCTTATGATTTTGAAATCACATTCATTTCTCGCATTTCTTGCTTTCCCAAACGTGATGTTTTTGGCTTAGCCATCCTCAACCCTGTTGGCTTTGCATATTCGCCGCGGTGACAAAGCCAGATTCCCAGCTTCTCGTTTTGATCTTGACACAGGCTCTCTCCGAGAGAGGCAAGTGAAGCGAGATACAGTAGCACGTTGTTGTGCTAATTGTTCATCCATGCAGAGCAGGAGAACATGACAACCTATTCCAGAAGTCTTGGTCAGACCCGAAGCTAGCTAAGGTGACGAATCCATTCAACAGATACCATGCAGTGCAAGACTATGTCTGCGAGGCATCGTCCGCGAAGTGGTGGAGGTGAGTAGCTCATGGTGGTGTTGCTCGTCTGCAGGCGATTCGCGCAGCAAAGGAGCTGCAGCTGTGCCAAACACGGCCGTGCCAGTCCAGATCTCGGTAAACAGCAGAGGACTCGGAGGAGGCATGAAGAGCGCAGCATCTCGAGGCTTTTTGTTGCATCGGATGCCGTGAACATCTTGGACGAGGCCTGGAACCTCATCTCACATGCAGCTCCTGCTTCTAGGAACCAATGTCCAGGCTTTCCAAGCTGCTCAAGGTCTCATGCAGGTGCGCTTATCCTGCTACGGGCCCCGTTGACCTGTGCTTTGACGAGGTCATCGGGCTGCACAGTTCAGAAACCCAGCGTCGCAGTGCTATCGGCGTGGAGGCCTCGAGCCTGGCTCACGAAATTCGAACTCGAAGACCTTTGAACGCAGGTTGCCAGGTACATGCCTGGAGATGCCACCGCCTTCCAAATGGCCGCAGAGGCTGGAAAGGAGTGTTCGTTGTGCATGCCGTGGTGCGTACGCGCCACAAGGGCGTTCACGATTTGATGAGGTCATGTTTGACGTGGACATGCTCAGCCGCGCTCAAGTGGTGGTTTGCATCCCAGTCCTGCAACACAACATCAATTTGAAGGACCTCTCGCTCAGCATGCTTCCGTACAGATTGGACACATCAGTTTCCTAGGTGGCATTAGGTGACTCTAGAGGCTGGTTGCAGGTATAGGTAGGGAAGCTGGTGGGGAAGCAACGCATGACATACAGATCTTACACTTGCTGTTCATTCGAAGGTTCCTAATTGAATCGAAATTGTTTCCGGCTGAGCTCAGGTTGGAACTTTGGCTTCTCAGGCAGGTCACCCTCCAACGGCAATTGCGGACTTCTTCATGCTTCCCTGCATCATTCCGCGAACACAAAAAGTTTGAAATCTGCATCGAAGGTCACTCGTGTTGGATGCAGTATCGGGTATGCCAGGAGGACTGCTACTGCCCATGGTAACCCTCAAGCAGTGAATGAAGATACCACAAGGAAGCTGCTCAAAGCGATCGCTTTGGATTTTGAGCTGTTGCAGAGCCAGAAGGATCTGCATAAGCAGTGGGGCGTCCGCCTTGTGCTTGGTACTTGGGCAGAGCAAGATCTAATTAGGACTCTGCTGGACCTGAGGTGTGGATGATGTGCCGTGGTCGCCGCCGGCCTGCTAGAAGAACCGGAAGGCAAGCATAAGCCTAGCCTGTGTGGAGGCTACGAATCCGTGAAAGCGCTCCGACGCAGGTCTCAAAGTTCAGCCTTTGATGTCATGCTGTTTGACCTGGAAGTACGAGGGCCAGAGAACCTCTCAGGCAGCCCAAGTCGAATGGCTTTTGGCTCTCTGAAAGAGCTGCTTCTCACAGATTTATGGTGGCGCAGCCAGCATTGGCACGGGACCGCAGTCTTCTTCGTGGGAAAAACTTCCCGGTCCTGGGCAGCTACTTTGCGTAAGTTCTCGTAGAGTCCTAAGTGGACACAGCGATGCCTTCCCAAGCTTCTGGTGTCGAAATACCTACACTAGGAGGTAAGGCCCTCCAGAGGCCGTTCTGCTTACAATGTTTGCTACTGAAAAAAGCTGAGAAAAGACTCCGCTTGATGCTCTTTGGCTGGAGCTAGAGGGCTCGTCAGTTTCTTGGACTAGTTTGCGCAGGACAACCGCGTCAATCGCAACAGAAGAGGTTGCAACAAGCACTTCAAGGAGCTACTGCCTCTAACTAGCTACTGGGTTGCTGTTAAGGAACTTAATTTAAGTTTCTATGTTGGGGATATCCTATTATATGCTATATATAGTCGGGGACTGGCTTTGAAGCCAGTGTTGTTGAGACAAAGCCCGCAGTAGTTTAAGCAATCCCTGCTCACAGAGCCAACAGAACAACAGATTTATTGATCTGCGCTTCTGGGTCACAAGGACGAGCTTCTCCTCAGGCCGGGGAGCAGGAAACAAGAATAATAGAAATAATAGGAATAAAGATAGCAATAATCGTAGTAGTATTATTTAGTCATAGCAATACTATTAGGAATAGTAGTAGCGGTTTCAGACTAGGTTTGTCTCTTGTGAACATCTTGCTGGATAACACCACAGCTATTGATTCTCGCAGCCGTTTCCCAGTCTGATGGCCGTGCTGTGAGTTTCGGGCCATGGGCTCAGCAACGAGATGCTAAATGGAGAGCATGGACAGCCGATGACCTTAAACTGGGCTGCTCAACATGAGCAACGCTTTAACAGTAACATGCACATGCCATGCGCAAGTAGAAGAATTCTGCTCATAACAGAATATACTATAGTAGTTTCCATTTTCTTTTCCATTATTCCAATATTACCCCAATATACTATAGTAGTTTCCATTTTCTTTTCCATTATTCCAACTTAACCCAATATAACAGGAAGCCTTGCTTCTGTGTTGTGCTTGGACTTTGATGAGGCCTTAATGGGGCAATTGGAGCGGAAGAGCTTTTGGCCTGCAGCTTAATCCAGGCATCAAGTGGTAGTTTCCGTAAATAGGGGACCCCAATGTAGACCCCCAATATACTATAATCCTTATTATGGGGACACCCAAGATGGTAGGTAGTTTTAGGCAATCCTCAAGTCTTCAGCAAACGCGCTGCCTCCCGCAGTTCTTCTGGGACGAATCAGAGCTTTGAACCGGCTTCAGCACATTTTTGAGTATGTAGCTGCTTTGCCTGATGCCTTTTGACGAGGGTCGAGGGTCCTGAAGCTGCATCAATGGTGACGAATGCAGGTTATATGGGGATGATGGAAAAGAAAATGGAAACTGCTATAGTATATTGGGGCAATATACAGATACTGGAAAAGGAAATGGAAACCACTGTTGTATATTGGGGTGATATCAGCTAAAATGGCTTACCATGGTTTTGATGTTGGAATCTTTGCAACGTCCAGCAACAACGATAGCAAGCAGATCAAGGAGGGCCCATGTCCAAGCAGTCATCGTGAGCATGCATGAAGGTAGCTATTGACTGAGTGATAGAGGGAGCAAGGGTGAGTGGGAGGGGTTGAGACTGGCCTGACAGGGTTTGCACCCCTAAACCGTAAATAATAGTTTCCATTTCTTTTCCATTATCCCTGTATAAACCCAATATACCATAGTAGTCTCCATTTTCTTTTCCATTATCCCATATATCCCAAATACATACCCTGTAACCCCTATATAACCCATTATAGTAGTTTCCATTCTATTTTCCATTACCCCACTCCCAATATAGTCTGCTTTTGAGGTCTTTGACCTGGCCATGGGCACCTTTCCTTTTGGCCTGTCTTAGCCTGGCGCCACAGTCTCTCGGGGGTGAAGATGAGGAGAGCCCCTGATTTCCCAGCTTGTCAGTGTTTCTCCCCTCATTAGCACCGTCAGACGCCCCGTACTGCTTTGCTCTGTTATGAGCCTCAGGCCGCGTTGTCTTCAGCTTGTACATTCTCTTCCTGATCGAAGACAAGGTCGGCAGCAAGCAGAAGCCGTCCCAACATGTGCCTGCTGGGTGGGTGGTTCCATGTTTTGAAGAGCATGCCAAGCTTCCCAACATGCCGGAATGTCCACCTGCCAATCCTGCCAGGTTGTGGGTCTTGTCAGGAACTCGGCTGTCGAGCAGAAAAGCCTAGGGATAGCAGAGCCTTTTGCAATTCAATTAGTTTTTTTTACGGTTAACTGGATATTTCCAAACTTAGGGGTCACCACACCAAAAACCCTACAATGCTCATGATGAGGACCTCCACAAAGAAATCCATGTTTTTTTTGGAAATCAACGGAAGATGACATGAAAGCAGCTGTATTTTTAGGGCTTAGGGATCGTGGAAACTAGGATGCAACATGGGACCATGAAGTGGAAAGTCGGATTTTCAGGCTCCCGCTCTACTTCGCTCCGCCTGCTTCTACGCGGCCTGGGGCCCAGCCTTGCACCACCCCAACCCCTGGGTTTAGTGGAAACTACTATAGTATATTTGGGTTATGTTGGGGGTATATTGGGATAATGGAAAAGAAAATGGAAACTACTATAGTATATTTGGGTTATATTGGGGTTATCTTGGGGCTCTATTGGGGTAATGGAGAATAAAATGGAAACTACTATTTAGGGTTTAGGGTTTCAAAGGTTTAGGCTTTTAGGGTTCAATGCGGGTTTCTCACAAAAGGGGTACCTGTAATGATGACTGTAGTATTTCGGGGTGGGAATTAAGGTGCCCCTGTTGAAAAAAAATACCACTACTGACGATACTGTTAAAGTTGAGCAGTGAATCAAAAGGCTTCTTGCGATAACAAACAACAACAATGTCAGAAATATTATACGTATCACTGTTGTGTGATGTCATGCTTCGGCCAAACTCGACGTCTTTTGCTTGACATGCGCAGGTTGCAGTGCTGTTCACCACATGGGTTCTGCGTCAGGCATGGACAAACTTTTTGGATTGATAAGCACTGGAACCATGGCACTGAGAGCCAGGTTTTTTCTGCCTGCACCGCGCAACCCACACCAGACTTGCGAGTCCACCTAGAGTCCGCTGCTTAAGGCCAAGCACTTGAAGCACTTGAGGATGCAAGCTGGCAAGTGATTGAATGAGGTCGGGGAGCTTCCGTGACAACTCCGTATCTTGGGTGTCAGCCGAGATGAGGGGCTGGCGGGAAAATATGGAGGCTTGGTGCTGGCCCTTACCTGGACGCGGCAGCATGGCAGATGCCAAAGGATGCTCACGTCGCTGCGGAGCTGTGCAAAGATGCTTTCGAAGGCCGGTCCTAGTTGAAAAGACGTATATGATACATATACAAATACATATATATATATATAATGATTATCTATATATAACACCCCCATATAAGCCCTATATAATTCTATACAATCCCCGTAGTTTCCATTTTCTTTTCCATTGTCCCAAAAGAGCCCCAGCAGTCTTGCCAGATGCGCTGCTTTTCGCGGTGCTGGATGGCCATGGGGGTCCGAAGCCTGTTGAGCTCAACCTGCTCCGATGCATGTGGGTAGTTCCCAAAATAATCAGTCTGAACTCCTTAAAGGGCGGGATATATGGAGGATTATATTGGGGACTACATAGTACATGTGTGTAGCTCCCAAAATTAGGCTCCTTTTTGGAGCCCAACATTAGGTGCCGCAATATAATCGATAACCAAAACGAGCCATTTTTTTGGAGAATAACCTATGGTGCCATGAGCTTTGAGGCAGCGAAGTCTCAACGTTGGCCTCAAAGCTGATCACACGAGAGATGGAGGAAAGACATTATGGTAGTTTCCATTTCCCATATATCCCTAATATATACCCGATTATAACCCTAGTATATACCCCATTAAAGTAGTTTCCATTTCTTTTTCCATTATCCCATATATCCCAACATATACCCTATTATAACCCTTATATATACCCTAATATAGTAGTTTCCATTTTCTTTTCCATTTTCCCAATATTCTCACTACAATATCATTACTACGCAATTATCGGAAGGTAGAGTCCAAAACTCCAATCCAGAGTCTGGGAGGACTGTGGAAGAAGAGTCCAGAAAGGCAAGACGAAGACGCCTCAGGCGGAAGCACTGGCAGAGGCAAGTTCCACAGATACAAAGATACACAATCTAAGCCTGGCTCCTCCAGTCAAAATGGTAGTTTCCCAAAATAAGGGAACCTCAATATAGACCCCAATATACTATAGTCCTTATTATGGGGACCCCCCAAACAGGTACTCCTAATGTTGGGAAACCCTGAACCCTAGACCCTAATCCCTAAACCCTAAATAGCCGTTTCCATTTCATATTCCATTATCCCAACAAAACCGCAATATAACCACCAAAAGGGGACCTGCTTAAAGCTATCCTT